GACACATCATTGTATCTAATTAAGCGGATGGTTGCAAATTAACTATTATTAATATCTTTATTGAATCGAAAGTACCTATTCTTAGCTATGATTCAAGAAATTCTGTTCAACCGTTTGCTTTGATCTGATGATCTCTTGAGTTTTGACTTGAGCTGATGACCTTAACCTTTTTCTTTGTTTCGTTTTTTAAAATTTTAAATTGAAGTTTATAGCTCATATTTTAGGGAAGTTGCGTTACATATATGCAACCATATGCTAAATACAATTTTGTTTTGCAAATTCACGTGGACAGCGTGGTTTTCAATATCTTCGCCCCGTAAACGTCGCTGTAAATCACCAAACAGAGTGATTTAGGTTATATTTTGGGATGAATCTAAAATCGGTAATTCGTTAGAGTCTCATAAGTTAATTAGATTCCAAAGTAATAGTGAAAAGACTTTTGTTAACTTTAATCAGTGCGTGTTATAACCCTCGACTCCATTACCACCTACCATCACGTAGTCAAGTATTTGACTATTATAGGAGCCGTAGTAGCTCAGAGTCAGTTTACTCGAGCAACCCGGGTTCGATCTCCGCCGGCACCAATGAAATTGTTAATTGCAATTTTTAATGCTGATTTACCACGTGAGGAAACCTGCATGTCTGAGAAATAAAAAAATTAAAAATTCTAAGATATGTGAAGTTCGCCAACACGCATTGGGGCAACGCGGCGGACATTTCCTTGTTCTAAAACCCTCTCAGAAATGAACGGAGCGCTCATTGCTTATATTCTTACATAGAAAATTACTGTGGTTCATTTAACAAGATGTAATTCATTAGATTCTGTCTAGAACTCAAAATCATTAGTCGTGCCGCATTGCTTACCCTGCTAGAAATATATACGATCTTTTATAAAATTATTATATTGAACCCGAAGTTTTATTTTAAATAGTTCCTAAATCTTTTTTGTATACATTTATTTACATTACAAATATACAATATTTATTATCATAATAAAAAACACTAAAACTAAAAACTTAAATTATCTTGAAGTTCTTCTCCCCGTATAGGGCCAAAAACACCGGCTGTATTTCCCCGCTGAATGGCTATACTTAGCCTTTGAGCGAGAAAGGAAACGGCCCAATCGTCTTTAAATTATTTTCAATTAATAGATTATTTAAATTTACCTTCTTCTTCTTCATCATTCTCTACAACGAGAGTGTCTCATATCCAGCAATGAATTTAACTCTCTCGTTGTAGGAAGGATTTGTGATAATTCATGTGGTTTGTTGTGTTGCACAGCTGGGTCGGCTTGCCCGGGGAAGGACTGTGCTCTCATATATCTCAGAATACCAGCGTAAAATAACAGTTAAAACTGCTGTGTTTCGTATGGTGAGTGTAGAGAACCAGAGACAATTTTTGCTAGAAACGAGACATTCCATATTAGTTCTCACGGATAACAACGCATCTGTATTTGGATGCGTTAGATTTATCTGGATGCAAACGTCTATATATATATATCTTGTCCCTTGAAATATTGTTTAGTTAAAATTATATTAACAATCCAACGTGAACATAGTAACTAGTGGATGTTGCAGTAAGCAGCATTCGATGAGTACAGAGCCGATATTAATCATACTTGTGCAAGAGTTAGATTGGTGTTCACACAGCCTGCTTTTGCTTCCCAGCTGACGCTCTTGGAAAGGGATATGTCCAAAAGTGGACATATTTACTAGTCTGTGAAATTTAAAGACAGAACTGATTAAGAGTAGAATAAATTTTTCGTTATTAATAACCTCAATTGCCGTTCGTTCAATTCGTTAGTCTCGCTGAAACTCGAAACAGGCTCGACCGATTCTGATGAAATTGTTTGTGTGTGTTTGAGAGGGTCCCTGAATAGTTTAAATTCACAATAGACCTGGCAGGTAAAGCTGTCGTCGAGATCCAGAAATCACTCCTACGAAGCTAGGGCGAATCACTAGTTTATTATGAGAAACCGAGTGGTAGCGATTTTGAGAATCTATTACCCAATTACGTCCCGTGGGTGTCGAAGAGGCCACTACGGGAAAAAGCAGAATGTTAGCGTTGTAATCTTCTTGTCAACACCAAATATAAAATATCCCTAACGAAGACGGGTGTCAACATCAAAGGTGCAAGATGATTTTTTATGGAATAAGGTTGACATACGAGCACACTGTCCACCTGAGGGTAAGTGGTTGCCGTGGCCCATAGTCATCTACATCTATATATATATATATATATATATATATATATATATATATATATATATATATATATACTTAATTAAATATCAGCCGTGTAGTGGCGTTGTAAGAACATTCACTACCCCATATCATCTAGTAGATGTCGTAATAGGTGACAGAGGGACCTACGGTTACTATTACGCCTGAAAAGCTTGGCAATAAGTGGCAACCTGTGGGGGAGGCCTATCTTCCACAGTGGACTTTTGTGATAGGGGACAACAACAGCTAACCTCTAGTAATGACAGTTAATATCATCTACTGAGAAAGAAGTCCTTAACTTATTTCCATCGTTAAGTAACATTTCACCCATTGTTGTTCAGCGGTTGAAATAAGTTTTTTCGTAGAAAAGACAACAAACGAGCCCACAGTTCGTCTAAGTGTTAAGTGAGTGTAGGCTACGGCCCAGGAATTTTTCCTCGTTTATAAATCAAAATACATATAAGTTTTAATCCCTAAGCACTAAAATGGGCTTACACTACTAATAGCCTCTGTAGTAAAAAGGGTCTCCAGATATCGTAGTTCTAAATATGTAAGTAACACTTTAACTATACTGCTATTTTACGCTGGTATTATCAGAGAGCGTAGTCCTTTCCCGGTAGAACTGCAGTTTTGCTCTACCGTGTACAAAGAATAAAGGTTAAGAGAAGTGAGGTAAGAAATTGATCCTCTAACTTTTATTAAAGTGTCCACAAGAATATGAGATATACATATATACGTTATGTTATGCGGCAAAGTTAACAAAAGGATTTTGTCTTTTAACGCCTATACGAATAGATTGGCACTTAAAATATCAATTAATCATTTTAGCACCATATTTTTATAAAACCTAAGACTAGAATATACGGCACGATCTGTGCAAAATGAAAAACATTGTAGGATTTAAATTTGAAAACGTTTGAGTAAACACTTCGTAGCAAAAAGGTGGTATTTAGTTCTTGCAATTATCATAAAAGTTGGTCTGCAAGAATTACATATAAAAATATACTAACGTATTTATGCTAATTGTTTTGTGTGCACACCGTAGTATTCGACTCATTGTTTTTAATAACCAAATGTTAGTTCTCTTTTTCCACTAAGATGGTTCTCATTCTAAATGGACTGCTTGTTCAAGGGCTAGGTACCCTTAAATTTCATAGGACATAGGAGTAACTGAAAAGGAACTTATATTAAACAAGATATCTTATTTCAGCAAAAACATTCTCATTTTTATAAAATAATTTTAAATCAAAACTCGACGCCGATGAGTAAAGTTATTAAAACGTGTAGGACAATTACTGTTTTCTGAGATGGAACCTTAATCCGGACCGAAAGTTCATTTGCCTTTTAATTTCATTACGGAGAAAAGCCTTCGTAATAGATAAGAGATTGACGTTCCAGGCAACGTTGCCTGTGTCTCCGAATGCCTCAATTTTGAATTATGTTACATGCTAAAGAGAAATTTTCAATATATTATATATATTTGCATAAACAAACATTACATTTAGTTGAATTACTCTGCTGTATTCCACATTGTAACATCAATTGTGGAGTCCATCCCATTACATTCAGCCATACATCTTTTCAAAACATGTGCGGAAATATTGTCAGACGCTTACTATAGAGTTTATCGTTTTAATTATTAATAGTTATTAAGAAAAATATAATTTTTAAACCCTTTATTAAAATGTATAATGTATATAATTAATAGATGTTGACTTATATCCTTTCCTTTAAAGACTGTACAGTAGAAATGCTACGTCGGCCTTGTCGAGGTTTTACCCATATCGACACGCGTACATCTCTTGATTATAGTATCCATGTATGAAACAATATCGTCGTCGTAGCCTAGGTTCTTTTTTTTAATATATATTTGCGATTTACGATTAAGAAAAATAAAGGGTTGGTGTAGGCATTCACCACAGAGCAGAATCAATAGAGACCATACGGTCGAGTATTTTCTTACTCTAAGGACGCATCCTATCGCTGTCGTGGCGCATTTGATTTGCGCTCGACGTTGAATCCGTATACCGAACGTATCTCGCATGGCTGTCTTACCAACCAATGAAGAAAGGGTTTTACAATGCAGTATCGAATACACCAAAATTGTTTTGTGTCAGAAAAATATTTGTAAATTCCGTTTTCACAAGGATATCGGCTCCGGCAGAAATGCATACCTAAGTCACTCAAATTAATTAGTACTAATATATTTTATTTTCCTTAACACAATTAGAGCTTACACTTGTTAGTTGCTGAAACCTACTTTTAAACCCATGGTGCCTCTAATAAGAATATCCCTTCTTCCATAATTGGATTAAGTATAAAATACACATGTCAACCCTGTTTTTTTTTTCAAGGAAAATTCAAAGGAAAGAAAATTTCAAGCTTATTAACAAACGTTAAAAGTACGGCCCATATAAAACAGATTTAAATGTTAATTTGACCCTGGCACATTTCTTTTGTGGATTTTAAATTCAAATTGAAAAAAGTCTGACGGATGTTGGAAAATTGGATTAACTATATTATAAAATTCGTTAATTGATTTATTTGATTGAGGTACCACAGAAGGCCGACATTGAGCCAGAGAAGTGACTTTGAGAGCAATAGGCATGCTAGAAGCGAGCGAAATGTTGCTGATGGCATTGGTTGGCAAGCGACATTTCGAGACTGTGGTTTCACTACCGGGACACTGTCAAGCCGCACGCCAAGAGCAGTCGGGTAACAATCTCAAGACAAGACCGATTTTTATAAATTACAATGAAACACAATGTCACTCTTTAGTGTGGCAAATGGTGTTGAAGTTGCAGTCAGAACAACAGATGAAACAGGCACGAAGTACAACTCCATGGTCGTTTTCTCGGAACAGTTTGAATTCCAGCACTACGAAGAGGCAATCGCGGACAATGATTGTCATAGGAAAACCGAAAAATAGGTGTAGAATGATTGCCAATGGTCTAGAGCATTATTATTCCCCTCTATAATCCCAGTTTGACCTCCGTCCAGATTCACGTAGAATACGTGCTCGGCGAACACTTGGACGGGATCGCCTGTAAAGTCCCCAAGAAGTTAGGTGCTCAAATCTATATTCCAACCACCTGTTACCTGTTGCAAATAGGTACTACATAACTAATAACTAGTTATATATACATATATTTGAAGCATATGCATGACTATGCTCGTACGGTTCGAGCGACTGCGGCAACATAATAGCGACCCTGGACTAGCCCTCCCTGTCCCCGAATTCACATTCGATCGAACACGCATACGCTTTAACGAAAAGCTTTATAAAAATATATCAATCACATAATGTGATGACAGAAAGTAAACTTCTTATGCGTCTTCGTCGAGCCAGCGACCTTATATTAATATAGACTATCGTTGAAGATACGTTTAAATTTTAATTTTAATTTTGGAGTAAATATGTTTCATTTAATTTCGTTTCTTTATTTAAACAAAAACAGAAAATCTTAGTTTAGTACAAGGTAAATTTTAAGGACATGTTTTTAAAGAAATATCAAGATTTTTATTTACTTTGCTATTAGAATATAAAGTAGTTTGATTAAAAAATATTTCAGTAAAATCTAGTTTCTTACAATACCTAGAATTACTAAAATATCCCTAGATTGTGTTGATGTATTTATTTGCTTCAAAACGAATAACGAAAATATTTTCATTGATTGCAGCTTATCGAAAGTCCTTTACCGAACATAGGCCTCCCTTATAGTTTGCCTCATAGTGGATTTTGCTAAGTTGCCACGCTTCGCAACCGCAGTCTTTTATTATTTTCAGTGTCGTTTTCAGCAGGATACTGCTACCCATAGAACACTATAATACATACAAAATAGAACGGGGGAGTGAGCGGAGCCTGTGTAGCCACTAAAATGTCTCTAACACGTCAATTCACATGTATAAATATCAACACGAGATGTGTTTTGACGTTACAATCGTTTCCAAATTTCCCATGCAAATAATTTAGGAAATGCCAAATTGCACGCTATTTACAAATAGATATGTATTAAAATCTGTCTGTCAACACAGCGAACCGGGTTTGTAGTAGTGATAATACGACGTTATTGCTTGTACGTGTGCTCCCGGCGACGCCTATCCTCGTACAAAATAAAAAAGTAAAAGTAAAGTTACAGCCCATATACGTCCCACTGCTGGGCTCAGGCCTCCCCTCATTTCTGAGAGGGTTTAGGGCAAGGAAGTGTCCGCCGCGCTGCCCAAATGCGTGTTAACGAACTTCACATGTCTTCGAAATATTTTTTTTCTTATTCCTCAGACATGCAGGTTTCCTCACGATGTTTTCCTTCACCGCCGAGCACGTGGTAAATCAGCACTTAAAATTGCAATTAACAATTTCATTGGTGCCGGCGGGGATCGAACCCGGGTTACTCGCGTTCTGTTATATTTACAGCGAGCGTTATCCACTGAGCTACCACGGCTATTGAGCTACCACGGCTATACGTACAAAATAAGGTTAACAGCTATTCTATTGTGTATTATAGTATTCTATGATGTTCCCATCTCCTGTTTCAGTTCCACTCTTACACGTCTTACGAGAACCACGGAATGATAAGAGGTAGTGAAAGTTCTTACGCCGCCCCTATTCAACCTTATGTTTAATTTTTATGTTTTTGAAGTATATTATACGTTACTACTAGATGGACTCAACACGCATATTGGATCAGTGCGGAGGACATTTTCTGCCCTTAAATCCTCTCAGGTGAGAGGCCTGTGCCTGGCAGTGAGACGTATGTAGGCTAAAGCTTTGAATGGCAGTAATTTTTTTACGTGGTAGAGCCATGCTGCAATTATATTAGTAGTATAGTTTTAGCACGAATGGGTCGGCTCGACCGGGGAAGGACCATGCTCTCACAGAATACCAGCGTAAAATAGTAGCTTAATGCTGCTTTGTTTCGTATGGTGAGTGTGGAGAACCGGAGACCCTTTTTACTGGAAATGAGGCATTCCATCTTAAATATTTATAATTCCAATAACAAGGATAGTACTCTAGATATTTTTTTAATTTTCTGCCTAGGAGTCTGGTTAAATAGGTAGGTACAACCTAGGAGGGTTCCTCCAGTAGTGATTATAGTTTCGTTTTTTCTGAAGGATAAAGGGTGCTAGTTTAATTACAAGCTGTGCATTGTCACCAATGAGGACCAGTATTTTACAGAACCCGTAAAATATTGGTCCTCATTGGTGACAATGCACCTGTAGTCTATTAGTTCTACTATGACTTAAGTTTTACAACAAAAGAAAATGTATTAGATGTGTATAAATAAGATTAGTTCAAATTCTTAAAATTTTTAAACAATGACGTAATTAAACATGCGCATGTTTTTTTAAACTTTATGAGCCACAGCAAGGCGTGGCCGTGTACAGGTAAGTAAAGCCATTTGTATTATTGTACCCAATTTTTCGTGATTTTTAATTCATAATCTCAGCAACAAAGAAAGAAATACGAAGCGCTACCTACATTTAAAGTAATGCAAAAACAAAGCCAAGACCATGCTCAATTTATTGTAAGAACACGCACTCGCGTGCATATGTGTGCGCCCAACGGTGAACTTTTCCTGGCTGGTACGTAAAGAAAGAAAGAAGAAATATGTATGCGTGAATGCATCGAGATGTTAAGCATAGTTTCAGCATTACTTGAAAGCGTTCCATCTATCTTTCTTTCTTGATCTAATTTCGTAATACAAACATCTGCAAAAAAAACCGATCAAATAGTAAAACTAATTTCTCTTCCTTGTGCTCCGTCGCTTCGATGTGCTTTCTACCGTTCGAGTTCGAAGTGCCAGGCAATACTTTGAGTCAGGTAGCGTAAGATTTGAATCCTTTACGAGCAATCTGATACAAACAAAAACAACATAACGCTTGTGCGAATGCAATTTATTGCTTATGAATTATTTTCCGCCTTTAGTTATTATTACACGAGTAATTCAAATTAAGCGACCGCGCGTGAATGATAATTAGAACGTGCTTTTTAATTAGTGAAATTATATATTTTTCTAATAGCAACTGCAAGCCATCTGTTCGAATCCCGTGCAAAACAAGTATTTGTTTAACACAAAAATAATAATTGTTCCAGGTGTGGATGTTTGTTAATTTGTAATTAATGTATATAAAATGTCTTCAAACAGCAGGTGAATTTTCTAGCGTACCTGACGAAAAAAAAATAATTTTTAATTATTAAAAAAGGTTTTCGAGTTCCAGTTTTAGATCCAAAATTTCTCTGATCGCATGGGCTTTATATCGGATTAGTTTAGACGATGCCTTCATGATTTTGCTACATTGTAAAACTTAAACACTTTTATGTAAATACATCTTGCGCAATTGACTGATTTTGATCAATAAAAAATGTAGCATTATATGTGTTTTGTAACCGTATGTTGGCGGTATAAAGGATCACAACATAGGCTTCATGGTATGTAAACAACCCAAGTTTGATCTCCACCAACTCCTATGAAACAATTAATTGCAAATTTAAATGCCAATTTACTACGTTCCCGAGAGAGAAAGAAACCATCATGAAGAAACTTGCGTGTCTGATAAATATAATATTACGGGGACGAATGAGGTCCGTATAAACTCTTTTGAAAAGGCCGTAAAGACTATACGAGGGCGGCACTGAAAGTTTCAGGAATCAAGGAAGTGACACAACATTACTATTTAAAAATTTATTTATTGCTTTTCGAAGTATTCTCCGCGAAATTTGATACACCAATCATTGAAGCAACCATTCCATTCGGAAGTTGGGGTCTCCAAAATGGCCGTTTTGTAGGCGTCCACAACTTCTTAAGGTGATGAAAATCTCTGTCCAAGAAATTTATTCTTTATTTTAGGGAAAGTATAGAAATCATTAGGGCTTAGGTCGGGGCTGTACGGCGGATGGTCTAATAATTCTATGTTTTCTTGCTCTAAAAACTCTTTTGTTCTGTGTGCGGTGTGAGAACTCGCATTGTCGTGATGGAGGATGATGCGGCGGTTGCAATTCTCTTTACGGAGTTCAGAAACGACTTGTGGCAAACAAATGCTAGCATACCATTCTGCATTAACCGTTCTTTGTCCCTCAAGAGGAATAGTCGTAACATGGCCGGTTTTGGAAACAAACGTGGCCACCATTTTTTTTTGCAACACTCCGTGAACGAACAATTTCTGTTGACTTTAACTCATTTTCGAACACCCAAACTCGTGACTGTTTTTTTGTTTCGGGTTCGTACGCGTATATCCACTATTCGTCACCTGATACGATGTTGTATACAGCATTTGAGGATCCTGCGTGGAATCTTTCGAGAGTTCTGACGCACCAAGTAACGCGAGCCGCTTTTTGCTCTTCACAGAGCGAATGCGGTATCCATCGGGTGTTTTCCCGACTTTTTTTACACCTAATTGTTCATGCAAGATTATTTGTATTTGACTCATGCCAATGTCTAAAGTTGCCTGAATTTCGCGGTATGTCACATGTCGATTTTCCTCAATCAGCTTACGCACAGCATCAACGTCTTTTAAGCTTAACCCAGCATATGGATTTTGGATTGTGGATTTGGGCTTCATCACCTGCAGAAATTATCCTCAACACACTGTTTTTGTGTTAAACCACTTCGTAAAGTCATAATAAATCATCGCTCTTGAATTTTTTCGAGTCAATTCCATTTTCTCAACGACTAAACAAGTTTGAAAAAACCTTGTGACAAGACCGAGAATCTTTTTTTAAATAAATAAATGGTATTCGATTTTTAAAACCAAGGAGTTTTCAATTAAAAAGATTTTAATATGACAGGAACAGTGGAAATTTTCCATTCCCGATACTTTCAGTGCAGCATAGGTAAGTTTACTTTATGTTGGTAACATAGGGAACTTATAAATTACTCAATCGCTCGTTGCTGTGGTCGATATAAGCCAAAATAACTTTATCAAAATGTG